AATTGATTTGAATTCATGTAAAATAAGTGATAAAATGCTTTCCAATCACAACACCATTAATACACTCAACACTTATCACTATTTCCACTGTTTTTGGCCGAAATGTCAGTACAAGACATCATATAAATTTGATTTATATAAACATCAATTAATACACACAAATTCAAAACGATTTAAATGTGATTTCAATAATTGTAATAAAGTTTACAAAACACATTCAGATTTAAATCAACACAAACAACGCGTTCATTTAAACGTGAGATATGTATGCGATTGGAGTGAATGTGGCAAACAGTTTACAACGAAATCCTATTTACTTCGACACAAAACTACAGTTCATTTAAATGAAAAGAAATTCAAATGCAATGAAGAAAATTGTGGCAAAAGTTTTGCTACAAAGCAACGCTTGATTCGACACAAACGCATACATTCGGGCGAAAAGTCATTTGTTTGTCATTTCAATGATTGCGGCAAAAGTTATACACAAATGGCCAGTTTATATCAACATAGGAAAAGACATCATTTGAATATAAATACACCATAACTGCAATTATAGTGTTTGTGGCAAATGTTAGGCCACTTAACAGTGTTTAACGAAACATATTAATTGCAATCATTATATTAAATCTTACGTCCAGTAGATTATAAAACTTATTATCAGTTGAATTTAAAATTTTATCTTGTAACTTATTGTACGTTACAGTACTGTATATCTTGCAAGCTAATTTAAATAACCAAAATGAATAATAATTAATTAATATTCGTGTTTATTGAACAAATATTTTTGTAAATTAAAATTAATTTATTATAATATTAAATGATATTGTTTTAAGTGAAAAATTTCTACCAAACAACGATTAAAAGTAGAGGTAATTTAGTATTATATTTGTGGTATACTTTCGACTGAATAATGAAATGAAATCTATTTGTATCGCAAACTCAATGACTTTGTGAACGACATATTGGCCGTTAAATACAGTACAGAGTGAATGCTGCGTACGAGCTATGCGTAAACATTTAGATCAGGGTCTTTTTGTCTATGAGATACGCATCGAGACCCGGGCCCATCCGTTTCGAGTAAGTCACGTGATCGCCGAGTTTCTTGATGTCGTCCCCCTGTTCGTGAAGGAACTCACTCTCAATGAAGTCCGTGAACTCCGGACCGTTAGTCCGACTGTCGATCGCCTGGAGGTCCAGAAGCGCCTGATTGACGGTCCGCTACAACTGTAGGCTATATCGGGAATGGCTTACGTTTGCGACTGTAATGCGAAATACGCGTACATTTGGGTTCACTATCGGAGGGTTCGCTGCACTCAATATTAATTTCAGTGAATATTATTTGGTTTAATAAAATAACATTTTATAAATTCACAAATGCAATATGATATAAAACAATTGATTTAAATATTGTAACTAGCTGTTAATATGGTATTCATAGTGTCGACTTAAGTCTTAGCTGAGTCTCACATTTTAAGTAATTGCTGGTTTATGAAACACATTTAATCTGAGCTGGCACCTTAAAACAACGTCTAAATCTCGACAAATTTAAGTCTCATACCGATCAAACTTGTCCCTGTAAGTAGGCTTCCCCTATGAAAGTGTATGGGTTCACATCGGACTGAATTTAAGATAATATTAAAATAAAGAGTTAAGATGGTTTTGTGAAATGGGATTAGTTAAGTGGGCTAAGATGCAATGTAAGGTCCAGCTCAGATTAAAATCCAATTTGTTTATGAATACCACTGTAGGTGTTGTTTTTAAAATAAAGGTGTATTGCTTAAATACTTTATGAATAACCCTCTCTCTCTCTCTCTCTCTCTCTCTCTCTCTC